AAATCAGTAACTAAGGAGTGCCATTCCCTGCTGTTAAGTTACGTGAATTGAGGTGAGGTTAGTTGCGGTGAGGTGACGTGACGTGACTTGGCGTGACGTGTAGTGACTTGGTGTGAATTAGCGTGTCTTGGCGAGACTTGATGTGACTTGAAGTAAATTGTCGTGACTTGACGTGACTTGACGTGAGGCGAGGCGAGGCGAGACTAGGGTAGGCTAGCATAGGCTTGGTTTGTTTAGTTTAGGTTAGGTTAGGCTACGTTAGGTTAGGTTTGGCTAGGCTAGGTTAGGTTAGGTTAGGTTTGCGCAGTAGTCTTGTGCGCATCAATCAGTAACTAAGGGGTACCATTCCCTGCTGTTAAGTAATGCGAGGTGAGGTGAGGTTACGTATGGTGACGTGACTTGGCGTGACTAGGCCTGACTTCACGTGACTTGGCGTGACNGTTGGGTTGGGTTAGGTTAGGTTAGGTTAAGTTAAGTTAGTTTATGTTTAGGTACACCTGATGATGGCCGATAGAGGCCGAAACGTGTAGTGTAGAAAGAACAAGATCAAAGACATATAATATATATTGTTAGCACTTGGGATGGAGCTTGTATCATTTATCGTGTAGAGTGCAACAGGATGCTTAAATAAAATATAATATAGTTTAGGTTAGGTTAGGTTTGCGCAGTAGAGTTGTGCGCATAAATCAGTAACTGAGGAGTACCATTCCCTGCTGTTAAGTTACGTGAAGTGAGGTGAGGTTAGGTGACGTGAGGTGACGTGACGTGACTTGGCGTGACGTGTAGTGACTTGGTGTGAATTGGCGTGACTTGATGTGACTTGAAGTAAATTGTCGTGACCTGACGTGACTTGACGTGAGGCGAGGCGAGACGGGGCGATGCGAGGCGAGGCTAGGCTAGCATAGGCTTGGTTTGTTTAGTTTAGGTTAGGTTAGGCTACGTTAGGTTAGGTTAGGCTAGGCTAGGTTAGGTTAGGTTTGCGCAGTAGACTTGTGCGCATCAATCAGTAGCTGAGGGGTACCATTCCCTGGTGTTAAGTAATGCGAGGTGAGGTGAGGTTACGTAAGGTGACGTGACTTGGCGTGACTAGGCCTGACTTCACGTGACTTGACGTGACTTCGCTTGATTTGACGTGACTTGGCGTGATGTGGCGTGACTTGACATGACTTGACGTGATTCAAGGCGAGACGGGGCGATGCGATGCGAGGCCAGGCAAGGCTAGGCTAGGCTATGCTGGGCTAGGTTAGGTTAGGTAAGGTTAAGTTAGGTTAGGTTTGGTTGGGTTAGGTTAGGTTAGATTAGATTAGGTTAGGTTTGGTTAGGTTTGGTTAGGTTTGCGCAGTAGAGTGGTGCGCATCACTCAGTAACTGAAGGGTACCATTCCCTGCTGTTATGTTCCGTGAAGTGAGGTGACGAACGGTGAAGTGACGTGACTTGACGTGACGTCACTTGGCGTGACTTGGCTTGACTTCGCGTATCTTGACGTGACTTGGCTTGACTAGGCCTTACTTCGCGTGACATGGCGTGAATTGACGTGACTTGACGTGAGGCGAGGCGGGACGGGGCGATGCGAGGCGAGGCTACGCTAGGCTTGGCTAAGCTAGGTTAGGTTAGGTTAGATTAGGTTAGGTTAGGTNGGAAAGCGGTTATTTCTTAGTTTAGGGTCCAATTACATCCTTCCGAAGACACTTTATAACAGCTACCCTATTAGCAAAACTACATTTACGTATTCGGCAAACTACAGACTTGCCTTTTCATAATGGGCCATGTCCCTTTTGTGGTCACTCAAGCTGCAGGTAACAAAGCAAGGCAGTTGTTCCTGTCCAAATGCGAAAAGANCAATCAGTAACTGAGGGGTACCATTCCGTGCTGTTAAGTTACGTGATGTGAGGTGAGGTGCCGTGAGGTGACGTGACGTGATTTGGCGTGACTTTTCGTGACTTGACTTAAGTTGTCGTGACTTGACGTGACATGATGTGAGGAGAGACAAGGCTAGGCTAGCCTAGGTTAGGTTAGGTTAGGTCAGATTAGGTTTGCGCAGTAGACTTGTGCGCATCAATCAGTAACTGAGGGGTACCATTCCCGGCTGTTAAGTTAGGTGAGGTGACGTGACGTGACGTGACTTGAGGTTAGGGGTGGTAACGTGACGTGAAGTGACGTGACGTGACTTGACGTATGTTCGCGTGATTTGACGTGACTTGGCGTGACTTGACGAGAGGCGAGGCTAGGTTTGGCTAGGTTAGGTTAGGTTAGGTAAGGTTANGATGACTAGGACTGACTTCGCGTGACTCGGAGTGACTTGACGTGACTTGGCGTGATTTGACGTGACTTGGTGTGAGGTGACTTGACTTGACGTGACTTCGCGTGACTTGACGTAACTTNAACGTGACGTGAAGTGACGTGACGTGACTTGACGTATGTTCGCGTGATTTGACGTGACTTGGCGTGACTTGACGAGAGGCGAGGCTAGGTTTGGCTAGGTTAGGTTAGGTTAGGTAAGGTTAGGTTAGATTAGGTTGGGTTAGGTTAGGTTGGGTTAGGTTGAGTTAGGTTGCGTTAGGTTGGGTTAGGTTACGTTAGGTTGGGTTAGGTGAGATTAAGTTAGGTTATGTTAGGTTAGGTTAGGTTTGCGCTGTAGACTTTTGTGCATCCTTCAGGAACTGAGGGGTACCATTTCCTGCTGTTAAGTAAGGGGAGGTGAAGTGAGGTTAGGGGAGGTGACGTGACGTTACCTGAGGTGACTTGACGTGACTTGGCGTCATTTGACGTGATTTGGCGTGACTTGGCGTGATTTGACGTGACTTGGCGTGACTTGGCGTGATTTGACGTGAGGCGAGGCTAGGCTAGTCTAGGTTTGGTTAAGTTAGGTTAGGTTAGGCGAGCCTAGGTTAGGTTATTTTCGGTTAGGTTAGGTTAGTTTACATTAGTGTAGTTTAGGTTTGCGCAGTATACTTGTGCGCATCAGTCAGTAACTGAGGGGTACCATTCCCTGCTGTTAAAGAGAAAGAAAGGAAAAATATTTTATCAGTCACACTGGACGAAGTTGAATGGAAAATATTTTATAATAAAAAGCTTACCAATTTGTATTCTTCGTGAAAACATATTATGAGATATAAATCTAGGATGATGAACGGAGCGAAATGTTTATTAAGCTTGAGAGACATCAGGAATATCTAGAAAATTTTAGTCGGATCACCTCAACTCAAGAGAAGAGCTCACATGTGAGAATTAGGTGTAAGTCTAGAAGGAAATGTAAGAGAGGACATATTTTCTTGAAATACGGTATGAAGGGCTGTTCTGAATTAAATTTGTTACTATAGAGACTAATAATAGGCACTTAGGACCAATGTGATATTTCATAAAAAGGCGACTGAGTTCGTAACCCGCTGAGAATCTAACAATTTATCCAGAAGCACTTTTCTAATGAAATGCAGTCTTATATTCATTGCATAATACCAATTTTGGCGCATTTTTTTTGTATACTTCGGAGCTGTATTTGATAATTTCTTTGCAAGTCTTTGCTTTTAGAAAGAATTAAATAAATAGTTATTTTTATCCTGTGTCATCAGTACTGACATCAATATAAAGATGTATTGGGGCTCCTGGTATAAATTTGTTGAACCTTCATAAATCGAAAATTCTATACGTACTAACAGAGCGAACGCGCCACTTTATGCTTAAATTTGTCGTTTATAATGTTGGTGATAAATGGGATCGAAACCGGAAGCTTTTGATTATTAGGTTACTTTTGTCTGGTACAGAGTAAAATACAGTTCCGTATTGCTATTACTGGAGGGCAAGTAGCGGTCTCTGTTTTGCCACACTCTTGAGCCTTAAATGGACGCTTGTGAATTTGTTTCACACGTTGGCCTCCGTGACTCAAACACTGTAAAAACTTCAAAAATAAACAGTAAATAATAAATTAAGTGAAGGACTGAAAGAAGGTTTTAACCACACAAAATTCTCTGAAGGCTCTGGCTGTCTTAGAGGGCATGAGTAGTGGGACAGTTACGATAGAAGTGACGAAGGTGCATATTATAACAATTTCCTGTCCCAGCTTCAATGTAGAGTTTATTGTTGACGTGCATTATAGAAAGCGGTAAGGATATCTCCAGAACACTAAGCCTTGAAGTCATACAAAATAACAAAAACTTAATTTTTGTCATTGTTCGGCTAACATTTCTTTGCTTCTTTGCATGAGAGCCCGAAGCAGCTTTCTCTGTCCCGTTCTCACCGCTCGTGGTGATGTTCCTCGCATCCTTGTCACGTCTGTAATGTACGTGCAGGTTACTGCATTATGCGACTATTGTGTGCCTCAAACATCTTTCGCAGTGCGTCACCACCACACAGTGACGTAGAGCGTTTCGTCATCATTAGAAAGTTGATTCTGTTTCGGCATACTCGTGAGATGGAAACAGGGTCGTCATACCGGAGATTTTGTTGAACACGCAATAATTTCCATCAATAAGTTTGCTTACTGTTTGTACGGCGTACTTTCAAGGTGTTTTAGAAAGAAGTTCAGGCTTTCTGTCTGAACTTTGTGCTCCTTGTATCTATGATATACGATTAAATACACGTACAGTAGACGCCCGAGGGGAAGAATGTTGTAAACCAACAAAGAAAATCTTAATATATGTTTTGAGTGTTCTTCTTATTCCGTATGCGAAATAATAACATATTCTTCTTTTTATAAATTTTATTGCGTAGCGTTCAAAGTCCCAAAACACGAAACCGCTTGAGGGACTTGGGCATGCGCAAGAGGGATATACTACAATTCATCTTAATCAAACGCCGATTTACCTGAAAATGTTAGCCTTAAACGTAACGTTTTTCTGTGCGTATTGAAGCCATGAAAGTATATGGAGCAATGGAAGTAGAACTCCACGACTTCTTAATGTGGACGCCAGAGGAGGTCGGTGGTCAGCTATGCTCCTAGGGAACCTAATGCATTCCTGAACCAGATAGCGTTTTGTTCTGAAATTAAATTCCCTGATTTTCAGGTGGAAGACGACGGCTGCGCCGGCCTAGCTCGTCCACGCCTTCGTCCAGTCTGAGGAGCCGTGACCAGGAAACGTCAGCGAGTGTGAACCGGTTTAAAGTCCGGAACCGGCTCGCACCCACAGTAACCAGCACCCGCAAGAGTGGCTCAGGCACCGCTGTTGTCGCCTCCAACGAGAAGGACGGCTACAAGGTGCGGCTCTTGTTCCCCCATCTGCACAACTACCAGGCTACACGGTGTCATAACCCGGAATATTGAAATACCACTTAATCTTCGTCGCCGTGAAAAAGGCTCTTGTTAACATTACGTAATTAGCCCTCTAAATGTTGAGTAGTGTTTTTTTGAGCTGCCGGTACTCGATCAGCCGGTAAAGGAACTTCCATTCTACAATAAAATCCGAAGGTTCATTACCGTGTTTACAAGCGATAACCAGAAGACTCGTCACTTCACATCCTCTTTCTTTTAGACAGGCCTATATTTTCGTATTACCTTTTAGCATAGTTGGTTGAGACACTATGCTACAAGCCGGAAGGTCATGGGTTCAAATCCCGATGTGGTCATTGGATTTTCTTCAGTTGACCTAATCCTTCCAGCCGCACTATGGCCCTGGGTTCGACTTATCCTCTAACAGAAATAACTACCAGGAATTAATTAAATATTTTCCCTGTGGAGTAAAGCGCGGCCAGCGCGTAAGGCTGACAACCCTACCGCCATCTTTGAGCCGATTGTCTAGATAATGTGGAACCCTCAACGTCTCACAACCCTATGGGCCTTCACGGCCTGTTACAGGGATAGCTTTACTTTACCTTTTTTTATATCCATGTTTCCAAAGTAGCCACTTCCTTTCTACATTTCGACTAAAATGTTAAATGTTTTCGTTTATCCCCCAACACATTAGGCGTTGAGTCGGGATACCTCATCCAGTATAACAACGTCCTAGGGGCTTGATGGCAAGGGTATGAGAATTTTCTCTATCCCACAGCGTTCAGAGTGTCTCCATGACTCGCCCAGCCTCCTATCGAATGGGTAGCAGTGACCTTTTTCCTGGGGGTGCAGCAGCCGGAGCGTGAATCTAACCCCTCACCTCCATTTAATGACGAGATGAGAATGGTAATCAATATTTCCATTCCCCCATAAGTCTTAGTAGCATGATGCTTAATTAATTAAGCAGATGGGTAATTTTACCCTTACCGCATGTTACATGTCCAGACTCTTCCTGTATTCTATTACCCTATTAGTTTTACATTAAGAATACAAATCATTTTATAATAATTAACTAGTGTGACGGACCAGAATGATTATGCTTCTTCCTTTATCAACCTGCTGCTTCATCTCTCTTACCTAGAAACAATAAAAATGGTAAAGCTATCCGTGTAGCAGGCCGTGAAGGTCCATATGGTTGTGAGACGTCGAGGCTCCCACATATTCTCTACCAAGTCAGCCCACAGTTAGAGGTGAGGTCAGCCTTATGCGCCGGCCGCCCTTTATCCCCAGGAAGATTCCTGGTACTCATTTCTGTTAGAAACTGAGTTGAACCCAGGGCCATAGTGTGACTGGAAGGATTAGGTCAATTGAAAAAATCCACCTCATATGAATTTGAACCCGCGACCTTTCGGCTTACAGCATAGTGCCCCAACCAACTACGCTACGGCGAGCCTACTACCTGGAACTAATATTATATAAATTAACCATACTCTCAAATTTACCACCTCATAATATTCCCGCTCTGAATGTAACCCGTCATATTCTTATCTCTCAGCTTGTTCGGGGTGTCGGAAGTCAAAATAAACGACGACCAAAGACACAGCATTCGTGGAGTACGTACATTGATGACATGTAGTGTTTACTTACTTACCTACGTATTTACTTGGCTGCGCCATAGTTCAAGCGGTTAGTCGGTGGCTTCCCACCGCGGCAGCCCGGGTTCGATCCTGGGTCTGGTCAAGTGGACTTTGTGGTGGACTAAGTGGCGCTGGGGCAGGTTTTCTCCGAGTACTTCGGTTTCCTTTGCCAATCTTCATTCCACCAATTGCTCTACAACCACCCTCGCCTATCATCTGGGGGCTGGTACAATAGGCCAGAAGTGGCCGCAGTACAAGGAACTTAGTCCCACCCCACTAGCAATAAAAATACTTACTTAATTATTTACTCATGGAGCTGAGCCCTTTTTGAGGAGCAGCCAATTCTGCAGCTGCTCAAGAACTTTTATGGAGCCTGAAGGTTCATTACTGTGTTCACAAGAGCCCTCCACTGTCTCCATTCTTAGCCAGATCAATCCAATCCATACCATCCCATCCTATCTCTCTAAGATCCATTTTAATATTATCCACCCACCTACGCCATGTAGTGTTTACTTCTGCTGAAGTCGCCGTGGAGTTGTCAGCACTCGCGCTTCCTATTGGGAACGTCCCGAGTTCAAATCTAAATCCGTAGACTATACTAAAAAGCAGACAATAATTTTAAAGAATTTTAATGGAAAGAAATCTTTAACCGAAAATTCCTAATAAGAGGAGTGTTTGCCCTCACACAAACTGGCTACTAACAAACAGTATGACCAGACTAGGATGTACACAGAGTGTTGTTATTATGACATCTGCTGTTACAGATCGTTTGCTACTACACTAACTGGTCGCAGTATCGACCGAAGCATGGCAAGTTCCTACCAGAAGACATCGAGCCAGACCTCTGCACGCACATCATCTTCGCCTTCGGGTGGCTCAAGAAGGGCAAACTCTCGTCGTTTGAGTCCAATGACGAGACGAAGGACGGAAAAATCGGTCTCTACGAACGGATCATGGCGCTCAAGAAGGCCAACCCCAAGCTGAAGATCCTGCTGGCCATCGGTAAGTTGATCTTTCAAGCACTTCTCATTCGTCCGAGGGTACTTAGCGACTGGCTCTCGGCTACTTTTGGTTCACAGTCGGCTGGGCAACACTGGAGTTTCCGAGTGCTTCAAAGTGAGTAAAGGTATCCCTGTAACAGGCCATGGAAGCCCAGAGGGTTGTGATACGTTGAGGTTCCCACATTATCTAGACACTCGGCTCATAGATGGCGGCAAGGTTGTCAGCCCTACGCGCCGGCCGCCCTTTACCACCAAGAATATTCCAAGAATATTCCTGGTACTCATTTCTGTTAAGAGGCTGAGTCGATCCCAGGGCCATAGTGCGGCCGGAAGAATTAGGTCAATTGATATAAATACAATGACCTCATCGGGACTTGAACCCGTGGCCTTGTAGCATAGTGCCTCAACCAACTACGCTACAGTGCCCCCTTTCGAGGACTTTACGATGTAATAATTAAAGCATAAATTAAATAAGTTTTAATGGCTGGTCACGGCAACGCGAGGCGTAGTCAACCCAATTAAGATTACTAATTAAGTAATTTCAAAATGTGGAGAAGTTAAATTATATGGGAAATAAATAAGTAAAAATTACAGGCCTATTCATTAAAGTGTTTACAGCAGATTCAATTCGGGAAAACCTTGCTACAATTCATTTCAAACTACGTTAACTTCACATTAAATGTTTGAAATCTGAGATATTAGCCGTAGTTTAATCAAACTTTGATTTGATTTATACACGCTCGAAGCTTAGACTTTTACCGTACAGGAAAGAAAGTGTTCAGGAGAACATTTAGGCAAAAGAGACAGGGAGTATTAGGAGAGACAAAATTACAATATGAGGGACTTCATAATTTCAGCTCATCACAAATATATTGAGAGAAAGAAAGGGAGGGAGATAATAGTGAAGGATATAAATAAAGTAATGTGACGTGCCGCCTTAAAGCCAGAACATCTGAGCGGCCGTCCATTGCTAGAAAACGGCTTGTTAAAACACGTTTCCGAGACAGCGTATACAGAGATATCTATTGCCGGGCAAAGGTTCAAAAAGCGT